GCCATTCTTGCTCTCCAGATGATCTTCTACTGGAACGCCCCCTCTGAGAAGGCCAAGGGCAAGCAGCCTGTTGCCCCCATTGCGGCCAAGCCTGCTGTTCTGACACCCTCTTCCTCTACCACTGCTACTCCTAAGAAGAGCCCTACCACTCGCCGACGCGGTTAGAGGTTCACATCCTTATTGTGTGGTTGCGTTTGCTTTATAGACTCGATTTGTCATACTCATTTTTAATAAGATCACTCCGTTACGTGCTTTGCTTTATGATGCTTCATTATGTGATTTTGACATGTATTTGTCGTCAAATGTTACACGAAAACGTGTGATGCTAACTACCTACATAAACGTGTTGCACAAACCCTGTCGATGATGCTATTCGAAGCAATGGTGCAAATGGTATCCCCCTTGTATGCTACCCCAGTTGAACGCCGTTATAATAACCCAAAGTATCGCTAATCCTTTTTCCATTGCCCAATTCCATACAATATCCAATCAAAACATTGATGCAGTGACTTGATTCCATGTCGCACGTGAAGGTCGATCGTTTGGACCAGCGCATTGAAGACAGCGCCGCTGTTCGCCGAGGTTGCTCACAGAGCAGCTGAAGCAAACATGCTTGCCACAAGCACCGCACGAATGATCACCGTTGTCGATACCATCGATATCCATGCCATCGTCATTACTGTTGAGACCAGCACCACAGTCGTCGCAGTTCGAGGGAGTGAGTTGTGTTTGGCCCAGGTTGGTTGTCGGAGCTGAAGGTGCTGAAGAGATGTTCCAGAACCGGTGGAGAGATTGTTGGTTTGATTCAGGTTGAGTAGGTTGAGGTGGTGTCTGTATGTTCCCAGATGGAAGTTCAATGTGTTGATGCTGGCTCTGCGCTGAGTATAGCATGTTGAGAGTACGTTCTAACTCAATTAGCATATATACAGTGCACGGCTATATATATCAAAACTTACCATGAATTGTCTCTTCTGAAGGTCGGTTATCGCGAAATCTTTTCATGGTACGACTGTGAAGATGAATAGGCGTCGATGCCATGATCGCGAAAGGGTTGGTAATGGAGTTGCCGAGTCGAGGAGGAGAGTCAAAGGATGAGACTGATGAGGGAGAGGCACAGAGCTCAGAGACGGATCGCTTGCGCTTGTGAGCCATTTTGATTAGGAGGAAGACAAGTCGTTGAGTGTATAAGCGGGAACCGAAACAATTAGAGTAATGTTACAATGGATGTAAATAGAGGATGAGGTGAGATAGATCAACCTCTTTACGGGAACTGAGACGAGACTGAGACTGTGGGGCTCAAGTTGGCTGCGCGACATGACGCGCTTAAGTGGTGACGTTGGACGCGTTGATGGCCCACGCTAATCATCGTCGCGCTACCTTACTACAGTGGGGTGGGAATGGATCTGAGATATAAAAAGACTCTTGTTCTAGATGGAAATTACAATGGCTATCGCAGCTCAAGATCTGCTATTTCCAGGCATCATACTAAATTTTTTTTATTATATGGAGCTAAGTCCGTCAGGACATCAAAACCGCCACCCAGCTCTAGCTGTTTCTCTGCCGATTCTTGGCTGGGTCTAGGTACCTAGGTAGTTAATCTGTAGGTGGAAACTTTCTAGGAGGAGGAAAGGAACTGAGGCTTTACCAGCTTTTTCCTGCAATGGGCCACTGGATAAGGTAATGTAGCTAGTGTAGGTATTACCAATTCATACACTACGTCTTTTGTCGCTGGCCCAAGTTCCTTGCCCCGGTGCTCGCTTGCGAGGAAAAAAATGCTTTGAAGTCGCCAACACTATACACATTCACATGCAGCCGCAGACTACAATAACGCTACCAGTGTCAATATACAGCACATACAGTAAGAGAATAGTCTCCATGGGGAGCTGAGGTTTGTATGGGATCAAGAAACAACAAAAGATCGCCGTTGCGCACCCCGCCCTCCAATCATAGCTGCCACGAAGCTGCAAAACATGGAACCCCAACCCCCCTCCCAACGGCGATGCTTGTCAAGCCTGGGACCTTGGTGGAGAATGTCAGGCAGCCTGAATGAGAATCAGAGCAACATTAGCACCCTCCCGCCCTCTACTCTCTTGCTTCCTCCATCTGATGCCTTGTCTCCTCCGTCGTTTCGGGCGGTGGCATCAATGGGTCCCCGATCCATCATTTGGTGCAATGCTTCTCCTCAATTCTATAAGAGGACTTGAGTTGGGCGTGGAATTTCCTTTCCATGGCGCGTCTTTACGAATCACATCCATCTCTTCATCATGGCCAATCTTTCAACGGAAGATATTGTGACTATACTAAGTACAATCCCAGGGCTTCTCATATCGTGTCTAAGTGCTTGGTTGGCATATCTTGCCCTTCAACGCCGCCATGCAACCCGTAACGACATTGAGACTGCCACTATCGAATTCATTATCACACGCATCAGTGCAACTCAGTCGATGTGTGAGTACTATTGCCAACTTACGAAGTTTTCTGTGTCTAATTCATCCTCAGGCTTGAGATGCAGTCCCTGTACGAAACTACCACTGGGATCTTAAGTCCAAGCGAAAACCTACCCCAGCTACCACCTACGGCCCACCAAAACGTGAACGGACAAGAGTACAGACGGATCGAAGTCCTACCACCAGCACGAGTCGACCTGCAAAACAGCTTGCTGCGCCCAGACCCAATTGCAGCGTGACAAGATGAATACAAGCTATTGGGCGTTTGGGAGCCGTTTGTGTTAGAATATCTTGTTGATTGTGTCTATATGAGAATTCGCGTTTTAAAGGAATAAAATTTGGATATGCTCTCTACTCTTGCATGTCGCTCATCTATACCAAATTCATGGAGCTAAAGCCGAAATATATCACCAACAGTGGAGATGAGGCCTCCCCACGTTCAAGACGGGAACTAAAATACTTAAGTAGTCTAAGCTTGTTATCCGTCTATGAACCCAAGCGCTCATCGCAGTGAGGCAATCGTCGTCCCAGACTTGGGTTGAGGTGTTTCACGCCGCATGATAAGCAGTCTGTCCATCAGCATAGTACATACGAAGATGGTTTGGAGTCGTTGCCTCTAATCATCAATGTATACGACTAGGTAGAGTGTCAATGCCGGCCAACTCCTTTGTATCTCCATAATGCTTATTGGGCTCTCATGACATTGGCTTTGAGTGCCCCAGAAGCACGGCTGTGGCTATGGAAGGTTAGTAGGTACTGTACACGGGCCACACTGTAGAAGGGATTGGGAGGAGGGGGGTGTCAACCAGGCAGCCATTCCCATTTTGCTGGGCCGATGGTTCGCAAAAACATAGGGAAACAACCTACCCCCTGAGAGGGTGGCCCGACCAAGCAGCCACAATTCTCAATTCGCTGACCTGATGGTTCGCAAAAAATAAAGGGCAACAGTTGAGGTGTATCCCCAGAACTCCGCGTTCGGTTTAGCTACTTCAGCTACTCTGCAATATCTATACTTCCTAGGTAGATATAAAAGGTTGATAAAGCCAAGTTAGTGATGGCATGACAGCAACCACCCACAAACACCAAGCTTTCATCCAAAGCATCTTTTGATATCCTTCCACTTTAAATCGAATTCTTTCAACATGGTTCAATTATCAACCGATGCTATTATTACCCTCGTTAGCACTATACCTGGACTGATTGTATCTTGTCTAAGTGCCTGGTTTGCCTACCTAGCAATCCATCGAAGACCCGTCCCCCAAAACGATGCCGAAACAACCGCGATGCTTTTCATGATTCCAAGGACAGCTTATGTTCCTCCCGGGTTAGCATTCATATCTCTTCGCCTCTCCATGTGTTGAACCTGACTTGTTTGTTCTCCAGTGCATTGTCCCACACCGATTCAGAGGGGACATTGACGAATGGTGATGCCCTCCAACTACCGCCAGCGACAAGTCAACAATGTCTTGGGCCGATCCATAATCGAGTGCTTGAACATGCTGAACGTGTATCATAATGTCTTGATGAAAAACATGATACAAATGGAGAATGCGCTGCTTTTCAATGCTTCAACATGGGCCGCGGCGCATACGACACAACCGGTGTCCCCAAGCCAGTGCCCCTCACCAAACAAGGCTTCCTCACTCGGCTCACATGCACTTATCAACCAACCTGATACAACTGTCCACTATGAGTTAGCTCTCAGAAGAATTGATTGCACTCAAATGGACCATGACCAACCTGCAACGACACATGAGGAACCTCAGGAGAACGGATTCATCCACCTAAAAGCCTTCCTCACACGAGGCCACTTCTTGGACTGATACAACTTGTATGCAAAGAACAACCCAACACACGACACGACCAAGCCAAGAGTGGAGTAGACGATGGTGACGATTACTTCGGTCGACATTGGAAGGGATTGAGCGGAGAAGTGTTGTAAGGGACAAAAGTGATAGACGAAATCGGGGTGTAACGGATGTAAGAAATACCTAGGCCTTGGGACACAACAGATCATATTTGTACGATAACAGTAGGGCTATCCTATTCCATACTGTCGATTGAGTTACCGGTGGACACTCTCTTTCTGTATCCTCCAGGCTTTCCAACAGAGCCGTATTCTTCCTATGGGGGCCCTTTGCCTCGAGGCTGTGCTGCAGTAGGAAGTGACACGAGTTGCACATCTGCCCTCCTTTCTGGTTACGCAGAATGACACGCTAGTCTAGAGGTGGCTACGGGATGAGGAAATACAGCGGTCGGTCTTTGGTGGGAGAGCAACGATTTTTGGTGTAAGCTGTTCTGCTGTTTTTCCTCGCCCTGAGGGTCGAGACTTTTATCTTCTATCCTAAGGAATTAACAGAGTTAGGTAAGTTACGTATTATTTAAGACAATTTATTATAATTTAGTGTTACTTAGGTAAATTTAGTGGATTCTTAGACTAGATCACTGTATGGTTTTGCTGTTGACGTAGGTCCCAAATAAACGCATTGCTTGGTATAACTACTAACTAACTACCTCTCTCTCTCTCTCTCTCTCTCTCTCTCTCTCATATTATTACTCCCGAGGGGGGACTACTGGATATTGATCACACGTCATTGGGAAGAGTAGTGCCCAGTCAATTTTGAAGTCCTCCCAGCGGTTTGGATCTTTAGCTATTTGCCCCGGTGATTCATTTCCGTACTCCTTTTCCATTTTTTTGACCAATTCCTTGCAGGCGGTGGCCGATTTCTCGACCTGGTTCTCCAAGAAGGAATCAAAAAAACCCTCGATGTTAACCAAGGCCCTGTCGATGGCTTTTTGTGTATACCTAATCTCTTCTTCCGCTAAGTAGGTCTCAAAGTGAGCTGCGCGTAGATAAAGGCGGAATCGTGTGTATCTACTCCACAGCAATCCGTCCTTAGTCTCGATTTCCTCCTCTATCTTGAACAAGTCGTACCATTCATTCGAGCGTGAGCGTGTGAGATTAGCTCGGCGTTCGAGCCACCGAGGCATGTCCCACTCGAGGCAAGTTTGGTCCTGAGGGCGTTTGAGCTTGAATTTGGCAACCATGTTGTCCGTCAAGAATGCCATTGATAACCGAAAGATCACTACCGTTGCCAACGAGGCTAGCCTGGCCCGACACTGCAACATTGTCTCCCGAGGATACGGGTCCATGAATTGTAGTATTCTGTCCTTGACTACCGTGTAACCGTCTGTGTCCTTGGGGCCTTTTCGGAGCCAGAGCGCAAGCTCGTAGTGACAGTGTTCCTCCAGCGTTTCGTCTTTCTTGGAAATCCGGTAATCCAAGACGTCTCCTTCGGTAAAAGCTTGCTTGATCAATGTTCCATTCGCGGCGGCTGTTTTGTGGACATCTTCAAAAGCCCTCGTGTGTTCATCAAGCTGTGATTCTTGCAACGAGTAGATATGGGCCCCGGGACGCGTAGAAAACATGCGCATGGCCAAAGTTACATCTCGGCCAGGCGGCAATTCGTTAAGAATCATCGTAGGAGTGATGATTGCGCCAGGTTCTAGGAAGTCCTTGGTGCAATCCATATGACAGCCGATTGCAGGGTTTCCGAGGCCGTAGAGAATAACGAGGATCTCGGTGGGCAGAGATGTTTCCTTTGCTTTATCACAAGCCTCTCGGATATGCAGAAGTATTCTGGTTATCATCTCGCTTGAGTAGGTATAGACAAAACCGTCAGCTCTCTGGGGACTGAGCCATGTTTGATGGCGACCGAGTTGGGCGAGGCGTTTCTGGTCCATGAGGGCATCATTCCACCAACATTTGCCCATATCAAAGCCACTGCCTTCGTCATTGCGAGGCATCACTCTACAAGCTCCAATGATGATGGTTGTATGGTAGATCTGGGGTATCGTGGTGGCATATTTGATTTGACGCATGATGAGTGCCCGTGGTATGTCTTTTGTCTGATAATGAAAGAAATGATGTTATCCAATTCATGTAAAAGACGAGGAGGATGAATAAAGTTGAAGCCAAGAAGGGTACCGACTTTAAGTAGTAGGTGCCTTGTTTTATCTTGTCGGTCTGGCGGCAATCCGCTGAGAATCATGGAAGGAGTGATTATTGCATCAGGGTCAAGGAAGTTAAGGTATTCAAGTGTTTGAGAGTGGAAGGACTCCTACTGCCTGATACACTTGCTGCCTTCTGTGGTCTAAGGTACCCTAAGAAAACACTAAACTAAGCACAAGATATCCTAAAGCTTAGGCGGGCTTATCTAAGTAAGGTAAGAATTTTTATAATTTTAGGATCAAGATCCTAAGTATTCGAGAGGCTGTCTACCTTAGGTATCTTGTCGCCCTGGCCAAGCCAAAACGGACACTAAAAGGGACCCAAGGAGGCTTCCCTACCTAATCAGGAAGACGCAGGATTTTTGATTGGTTCTTGAAACTCACCCCAATCTTAGATATCATCCCATTCGCTCGTTCTGACGAAACTACCTGAGCTTCTAGGTTCTAGGTTCGGTTCTCTCTGCCGGAATAAGCTCTCAGCCACAAGTCTCAACTGCAAATAACACTTCTTACATCATCAGTTTTGAACCCAGATCTAATTTACACGTTCGGCCTTATGAACTGTAAGCTTTGGTAATTGAGGTCAAAAGACGAGAGCTATAATAAGGGAGTTGATGTTCATTAGTTAAAAGGCTCGTTTAGTTTATCCTGAAAGCATGTACGCATTCTTGTCGCTTAACGATTGGGTTCACGATGAGGCACTGCACGAATTCTTACCTCTCGTGCTCAGGATCAAGCTTTATCATTCTGCCCTGAGAGAAAAAGGTTGTTTCAAGCCATGAAGTCTTTCAGTATAAGTAGGCTTTTATTCCCCCCCCCCACCATGTCTGTTCTGTTCTGCCCATCGTTCATCACCTTTGTCATCTCGGACCCTTCTTGCACATAACTCAACTCATACGTCATATCGCCATGTCGAAGGAAGAAAAGTCATCATCTTCAAGTCAAAAGACTCCTCCAGGCTCATTAGGGTTAGGGTTAAGCCCCCCAGCGGATATGTGCCTCCGCCACCCTACGAGTCACCTATGCTGTCTCGCGAGCCTACGCCAAAACCAGTGCATGTCATCGTCGAGCCACTGGAAATGCCCTTAGACACAATGCCTGAAGAGGAAAAACCGCGGAGAGCACGGAAGAGGGATTTGATCAAGAGAATCATCACCATAATCCTCTGCCCGGTCTGCCCGGAGCTCCTGATTATTTGTTGATGACCTTGAACTTCGTGCCCCGGCCTCCTTTAAAACCTTAACCTTACCGCTTCCGCTCCAAGTTGGGATACGAGGGTTGATTGTGTAAATCTACCAAAAGGAGAAACTTCTAGGGTGGTTCTGATATTTTATGCTAGCATATTCAAGCCAGGGATGTTTAATGGCGGAATCTGATCCTATCTTCCATCTGCTTACCCAGCGGTCATGGGTACTTCACCTCAGAGGAAAGGGTGGTTACTGGAGCCAGTCGACTTATGACACGGAACTAAGCCTTCGCTGGATAGGAGCCTGTGAATGGAGTTACGTGGGCTCACATGACGGCGTCTAGACAACGCTTCTCTCGGAGTTCTTTCTTTAAACACACTTTTATAATCAATGGTTTAAGATTTTACTTCATAATCTAGGAGGGTCTTTAATCCCTTTCTGCTTTCTGCACTATGAAATATAGATCTGTTCGGAATTATGTCCCACGATTCCCAAGTAACGGATTTCAAGACTCTACAATGAACTTTTCGAGAATCGTACTGGTATAATATTAAATTAGAAATACACTAGAGATGAAATACCACATATAATCAACTATTCAGTCTTCCCAAACTGCTCTGCAGACCATAAAACTTGAACATCCCCCCTCTAAGGACGAACCACAAACTTTCCAATCCCCCCCTTACTCTTCAAAGTCTTCTCACAGCCCTTCCTCACCTCCTCCAAATCATCCATGTCCACCGCCGTGTGAACAGCCTTGACCATCCCCTTAGCGACCATATCCGCCACAACCTCCATGTCCGCTCGAAGCCCTGGATGTCCCGATATGAACTCATACTGAATCCTTGTACCGCGCAGCTTCCACTTGTACCAGATCTGCAATAAATCGAGAATCCAACCAAGCCATTTGGGGAACTTGGGACCGAGCATTTCTGCCATGACTTCACTTTTGGGGATGCTGGCGATGCTCATGAGGATGCCGTCGGTTTTGAGAACGGAGATGCTTTCGTTGAGGGTGGAGAATTGGGTGCTTATTGCAAAGTCAACGGTGCCGCGGCCGATGAGCTGTACGATGTCTTGGGTCTTGTAGTCGTACAGCTGAGTGACCATTCCGGGGAGATATTCTTCAACCAGGCCCATCTTTGGCGTCGAGACAGTCGAGATGATCTTCTCAGCGCCAAAATAGTTGCGTGCAATCTGGATGGCCGTGTTGCCAGATGCACTGAGAGCAGCGGGTATGTAAACCGTCTGCCCTGCGAGACTATCTCTTCCCTGAAGCTGGAGTCCTCGCTTGATGCCCTGGTACGCAGTTACTGCGAGAGCTGGCGCAGCAGCGGCTTCTTCAAAAGAAACATGATCCGGTTTCTTGTGGAGGAACTGTGGCTCTGTCAGGGCATATGTCGAGGCCCAGGCTGCAGGGGGTCTAGAGAGATGAGGTTTCTCAAACTCCATGCCGTAGACTGCATCTCCGACCTTGAACTCTGTGACTTCGGAGCCAATCTCTACAACTACTCCAGAGCCTTCGATTCCAAAAAGTATCGGATAGCTGCGATATATATGTGAGCTTGCATTATGAGTGAAGAGTGGTTGTCGACTTACGAGGCTTTGTAGAGCAAGTCAAACTGCCCAGCTGCTAACCCTGTTTCACCAGTGTTGATGGCAACGGCTTTCATACGCAGAAGAAGCTGATTTGGCTTGGTGATTTTGGGTATAGGCTGCTCTATGATCGTGTACTCTGCTGGGAGACACTTCTTTGGTGCAACAAGAGTTCGAGTGGTAGATGGTAGTTTCGACATTGTGGGGTTTGGTATATGTCAGTCAACTAGAAGTGAAAGAATGAGTGAGTTTGGCTTCATGATATCAACAGCGGATGTCAGGTCTTTAATCAGTCCATCAACATGCCACGGCGGCGTAGATCGGTGCCTCGGCGGTGTGTGGAGACATTTCGGGGGAGGGCCCACCGAAACCGCCGAACTCCACGCCGGTGATCTTTCGGTGCCTGAACCACCCAATGTGAGGAGCTCGTATGGCGGACTTTGCTTTTGATAGGATTGCAGGGCGGAGATTAATACGACTTGGGCAGTAAAGGTGTATCCCGGAATAACATATCCTTCAACACTTTCACCAGGGCATTATCCGCATTCATGTTGCCCTCAAACATGTAGACTTTGACCAGATCCACTCGATCCACGGGTGCTCTTGATGAGCAGAACTACATTATGACCTCGATTTGCAATATAATACATACATGAGTGAGAGGTTCCGCCACCACTGAAATCCTCGATCACCAGATTGCCATCAACTATAGTGACTGCAACAAATCTGGGTGGCCCTTGCTACCGCTAACACCTTACAAATAAAGAGCAAAACTCCAATCATCATACTTTTCGACGAAAAAAAAATGAACACGACGTTGATCCTGTCACATACTAGAGCGAATGAACCGCCCGTTCCGCGTCTGTACCGTACGACTACGGTCTTCACCACCCTCCATGCCAAGAACTGTTACCCTCCCAGTTCGGGTCTCGACGTCTGTTGTGAATTCCATACCATCGCGAATAGCTCGACTCATCTAAACCACAGTTAGTATCAGAACGGTACGCAGACACGAAGTTATGTACCTCTCTCACGGCTGATGCCAAGCTGGTCCGCAACATTGACATATCCCTCCTCCACGGCGCCTTTGTCCTTCTGAACCTTTGTTACAAGCTTCTCGTCGCCCTTCCAGACACTGCGACACATGGGGCAAGTCACTTTCCCGCCAGCCTTTGTCTGCGCCCACATTCTGAAACACTCCTCGTGAATATTCTGACCACAGGCGGCAGCGCACCAAACGATAGACTCTTGGTTCTTCTCGTCAAGCTCACAGTAGCAGATGGGACAATCGCCATCGATGGGCTTTCGCTTGTCGGACTCTGCTTGTCCAGGTGCCGAAATGGGAGGCGCGGAGGCAAAGATGGTTTGAAGTTCAGTGCTCAGAAGCGCGAGCTGGTAGACGAGATTAAAAGGCGCGTTCAGAACTTGCTTCATGACCTAAGTTTTGTCAATAACGCGATCGATGTTTCAGGTGTGATACGTACATAGAGGATGTGCTTGCACTGATGACCCTTCTCATGGTGAGGGCACGTACATCGCGGCTGTTTTCCAACATGAACAGTGTAGATGTTTCCAGTCGATCCTGTCATCTCAACATCTTCCTCGGGGAAATCTTGGGTTCCTCCTCTGACGCGATTAAGCACGTAAAAGCGCTGAGAAAGAGCCCGGTCGTAGATCTCATGGAACGACTGAGGTGGCTTGGGTCTGAACCTGCGAAGTCGTTTTTCTTCATTTGTGACTTTCGGTTTCTTCACCTTTCTCTCCTTCTCGGCTTGATAGGAAACATCTTCTTCAGTGATTTCATGGGCTTTGCGCTTCATTGGTGCTGGTGGCAAAAGTGCATCTTGCTCAACGCTCGTGGCTTTCTGGGATGGTTGACCCGCTTTGACCGTGTTAATCAGATCTGGTAAGACTGGCTCTTGTGGCGCCTTAAGCTTCTCACAATCAGCAGAACGCAAAACTCTAGTTGATTTCACACTGGACGACCCCATTCTGATGAGTCTTTAGTTTTTCTTGCGATAGTTTGAAAGAGATTTGTGGAAGATGGAAAATGTGATTTCATCGTGACTGCCTCCAGGGTATGGCAGGTTCCCTGAGCATTTTGGGCAGTGGCGGCAGGTGCATGGTCACGTGCCACTCCTTCCCCATGGTCATGTTTGATCCTTTCAACGTCAACGTCAATGTCAACGTCAACGTCATCTCAAAACCCCCCTGTGAATCATCCATTGTTTCAAGAAAATAATTGAGTTCATTCAAGGATGTCGGTTGAGTCGTAGAGAGATGATTGGTGATTTCTTTCATGGGGTTGCTGCATACAACTTCAATCACTGTGCACTGAACTACATTTCACAATTCTACAAAGACGTCAACTTAGAAAGGAACTGCTCTTTGGCATTGATTTATCCTATCTTCTTCATCCACTGATCCATCTCTTTTGACTGGCTTCATACCGCTCATGATAGCCCAAAAAGAAACATAGCCAAACGCCCCGAAACAAGGGACTGAACCCGCCCCTGCTCTCCTGAGGGAACATAGATGCCCCGCCGTAATGCGCCCCCTATACAAAGAAAAATAACAAAAGAAATCCAAAGGCAGGTTGATGTAGTAGGTACAGGCGATGCCGCAAAGACGGCAGCCTCTTTGAAATGGTTCAACGCCGAGTCTATGCTATGGCTGTCAAAGGTGTATAGTATTAGACATGAAGGGAATATTTGTGTGTGGCCGTAAGGTCATCGAAGTGATAGTATCATGGAGGTCGTATGGTTGAGGGCCGTGGTACTGTCATCGAGGTATCGGTTGTTCATCGTACTAAACCACGGGCGCGGGTATTATTGTGTTTTGCCCAGGTGGATATGATATGGCTATGGTTGTCATCAACAAGTGTCAACGTTCACGCAGCTCTGACGCGATGCCTAGGAAAGTGTCGCAGTGTATGTGCGCGCGGCTTTCAAGGCAATGGGCGTCGGTGGCTGGGATCGCGAGGCTGTTGATATCGACCAGATTGTTGCTGCTGGGCAGTCAACCATTCTGTGGAGCCAGTTTGTCGACCAGGTTGCTCAGCAGGCAACTTGGTATCGCTTCCGCTTGCACCAGTGTGGTTTGATCCGCCAGGGGATCCAGGAACCAAGTCAGTTACGGCCTGTGCAATTGAGGCCACGACGTAGCCTCGGAGTTCGTTGTCTTCCCGGCTGTCTTCCTTCTCCAATCGGAATCGTTCGTCCTTGTTCATGTTGGATCGACGCATGTTCTTGATCTCTTGCATAACATAGAGAAGAACCTCTTCGGGGCATCGGTTACGCTCAGCAGCATGCTGATTCTTGCGCACGTATCGTCGAGTGACATCAGTAGCTCCGTCAATGGAGAATGCAATGCAGTAGGACATCTTCTTGCCCCAACCCTCAGCATAGAGGCGAGGGTTATCCCATGCTTCCTCACAAGCATCCACATGAACCCATCGCTTTTGGTGGTCTGAATACACCTCAGTCCAGACATGGTCCTCAGCGTTCCAGACCCAGCGAACACGGCCTCCAACAGCTCGGCAAAGCATGCTAAAGCAGTTGGCCCATTCGCCAACACGTCCTCGTCGGGTTTGTAATAACCGCCAGACATCACCGTAACGAGGGAAGCGCTCGAAAGCACCGCAATGTTGAGCAGAGCATTGATACAATTCGACACGGAGGGCGCCACAAGCACTCTCTTCAGGTGAAGGAGCAGTCATGCCACGGGCGATGGTGGGAGACAAGCAGACGGGGCAGGGTGGGTTGTTGACCCAGCTAAAGAACGATCGCTTAAACCATCTATCATGTGTGTTAGTCAATCCATCCAAACGAGATCGGATGATAAATGACATACCTTAATAATGCCCGGATGACACAGTCTTGGTAACCCCATTCGGGCCGTCGTCCATCACCCATACTCTCAGCCTGAGCTTGCAAGACCTGAGTCTCTTCCTCGGCCTCGCCATAGATACGATCTAATGGGATGGTTTGTAATGCCTCGTCCAACAGACCAGGGTTCTCGTATTTGGTTGGTGTTAATGATAAGCTGATGAGGAGGTTTCTGAATTTTTGAGAATCGCGATCACCAGCGGCGGGAGGTGTAGGGATCTTGGGGAGATGTCGCAGGGCGGAGTAAGAGGGAAGACCAGGTCCTTGGGATGTCGAGGGTCGGCTATCGCTGGGGAACGGAGAGCTTCGCATACGGGGAGATTGCTCTCCCAAGCTCGGAGAGCCTTGTCGCGATGAGGCACGGAGATCATTCATACGCTTGTCACGCAACAAGCCTTCGAATTGGACCCGAAGATCTCGGGCCCATTCCTCGCCATACTCGCCCGCAGGCGTACGTTGGCCCGCCATAATTGCTAATATGTTGTTTTGTAAGTGGATAGTTCGTGGATGAAGATGTTGAGGATAGATGTTTCAGTATATGTCGTTGCCCAGATACGTGATCGGGCTAGGTAGTTGATGGCTCAATTGTTGCTATTTACGAGGTCCAAGAAACCTCGGAGTGAGATATGTCGTCGTAATATTGATCGTAAAATGTCGTCGTCAGCAACGAGAGGTGCGTGATGGTAGGCCTGATTGCCACGGTACACGCGTTGTCCAGATGAATCCTTTTGGTCCTGAGAATGACCAACTGACTGTTGCCGCGGGAGTTGTCGCTTGCTCTGACCAGCTGATGACTAAGGTAGCCAGAATCGTTTGTTTTCCTTTTTTCCTCAATCGTCGTGAGTATCGTCGAATACTCTTTCGTCGTAGAAACAAGTTGACTCGCTTCTTTTGTTCGTCGTCGCCGAGAGTGAAGGGTTAAAGGAGAGGAGTTGACGGCTCGCGAATGGCTGACCACTGCAGGCAGGTAAGAGAGACAGACAGCACAAAAGAGGAGAGGCAGGAGCAGGCGGCGATGAGAATCGATGGGTGGACCAGGGGAATAAAGGGAAAGGGACGGGGTGTCTCGGGAGGGTGTGCGTCTCGTTCACTCTTGCCCACTCTGGGCCAGAGCCTACGATGGCAGTTTACGCGTCAGCAGTGAGCGCCAGGCCAATGAGGGAGCCGACTGTTGCTCGAGGTGGGGGCCGCTGGGCGCAGGGGCATGTACCGGTACAGCGGCCTCGTACTCTTGTTCAAGTGAGGTGAGTGCTCAGGGAACTGGGGAACTGAGAGAACGCCCACTGAGCCTTATAAAATGGCGGAATTGATTGGTCTGTGATAGGTTGGATGGTTAAGTCAGTGCTTGCAGGCTCTGATTGTTATTTAGTATTACGGCCTCTGAAGGCTACGAATATTGATGCGTGTCGCTATCGTGAACGATTAAATGAGCCTCACGAATATATAATACCTTTTGACTCAAACTGAGTGAGAACGGGTCAACTATTCTCAAGTCTACGCAACAGCTTCATCATCAAGAGGCGAACCTAGAGGGCCAATCTCAGCAGGCCAGGGCAAGTGTACGTAGTCTTTTCCCAGTGAGTGATACACTTTGAATTGCGTGCGTACGTACGTCGACCTAGGGAACACCGAAAAAGCGAAGTGGCGCCTGGCCTAGATCCTCGTCATCAGCGAATTAGCAAGCGTCAGCAATTGCTTGTGCTACAAGTACTTTTTGAGAAGGTCAGATGGAGAAAAGAACTACAAGAGGCGATAAAAACGTTTTGATAAATTATGGGAATCTGTTTGAGAATAATGGGAAAGGAACGACAATCTGTATCTGTGCTGGCTGTGGCAATGTGAAGCCTCTAACTGAACCCAGCAGATGATAAGCGCGGGGAAACCGTCGACTGGCGTTAAAAACGATCGGCCGCTGTAAAGATGGAGTCGGGTCAGTTCAATTGAGTCTTTGGCGTGAGCAGTCACTAATTCGACACGGGTTGTAATATCCGCGTAGACTACGGAGTACTCTAAAGTTTGAATAAAAATAATACCCAAACTTGTGATCGGTTCTAGTAGGTTACTCAATGCGCAATCATGGACTCATCAGCTGGAATAGCGAATATTGAGTACTGTTTCATTTACATTCAATGTTCCTCTATTGCAATATGGCGCAAATTCTAGCACAGAACCCTCTCGTGGTGCCAAAGACCGCTGCAGTTTTCTGCGAGTCACTCGGCGGCCCTGGGGCCCTGGACTAGCAAGTATCGGTACTTTGCTGGGAACGTGCCCCTCGTCTTGGTGGGCGATGACGAGGCAGTGGTGAGGTCCTCTAAAAAGCCGCCCGAAGAAATAGTATCGTGGCACAGCCCATACTGAGCCACGCTGCCCGCAATCCTTTTTTCGCAATACGTAGGACAAGGCGTGCGCAGCAATGTCTATCGCAGATAGATAGTCGACGAGACATAGTAACTATCCGCGCTTATGGTTTCAATTGTAGGCCTCTGAGGCATTCTCATTCTGTATTGGCCTCTATAACTTGGAACTCACTAGCCACAGAGACATCTATCCAGTGGCGGTGCTCACTATTTCCAGTTCCACTAGATCCACTTTGACTCGCGGCCTCTTGTCCCTTGTAATTCCACTGCCTCCATCGACTTGCATCACCAACCCACCAGAAAGTTTGGTTCTGTTTCAATGATTTCCCTATGAGGACATCCATGGATACCTACATATCAGATAAACACGAAGACGTTATTTCCCGAAAGTCGATATGTACCCAATATTCGCGAATTTTATGTGGTTCACAAGTGAAGCTATTCCACATAGCCATGGGGATGACAATCTGTGCAGTGTTGAAAGAGACAACACAGACACAGAACAAGATGCCCAGTACGGTTCTCAGTACTCCACAGCGATCTGCAACATGCTTCTTTATCTCTATACCTGATACTCGTCGATCTTGAGTCAAATTATCTGCCTTACGCCTTGCTTGTATGGCACAGCTCTAGGCACCTCAATATCAAACCACAACCAACAAACAATACATAGAGACAAACCATCTTGGCCATCTTGATACAGCTCAGTGGGCGGGCTTGGAAAGAAGCTTAACTGGCTTTGGCGTCTGTATCGCGTGCGCCTGCCCCTGGAAAAGCGGCCTCGTCCAATCCCATCATCCCATTTGACAGGCGCTCAGAGAGAGAGCACACACTCGAGGGACGACTATTTGCTTACATGGCAACGTTACCACTGAACGGAATTAACCCTGCGTCTCTAGAGCTTCTTGGCAGCGGGAACGTTCTCTCAGCGTCGTGTCAAAACTCAGTCACAGGGGTCGAATCGGAGCCGAATTCGACTCTGTCCGTTTTCTCAATTACCTAACGTCGAGTTATGATCTACTCACCGTTTCCCACATCGAATTTTAACAGTGTCACACTGTCGCCCGAAAAAGAACACCCAATCGTCAATCGAGTTGCATCTTCAGGCTCAGTCATGTACAGCCAATCATTCTCAGTTGTGGCCTGCCCATCTTGTTGCGCTTACGACCGGGGGGTGTGGTCCAAAACACCGCCAAAGGCCGCGTCATCTTGACTTTGGCTTGCTTGCGTACATGCAAACACCAATATCTCAACTCTACCAGAGAGTCTACGCAACACGATCTTCCTCAATTGCCACCTCCTGATTCAACAATTTCCCAGAGGCACTTTGGTGTTTTGTGAATGTTTGATGTCTTTCTCATTTTGCAGATTAATTTACACGGTTTGTTTGATAAGCATTGCCAAGAGGACAAGAGAGATGTCAAGAGATGTGGCCAAAGTCAATGACCAGATCAGATTACGAGGCTAAGAATTTCGCTACCGGGAAGTCTGTGCTACGTACGCTCTCATAGAGTCTTGAGAAAGACGCCCAGATGACCTCAACTGTGGTCCAAGCTGATCGCCCAATCGCTTCAACGTCTAGATGCCGTTCTTGATGTCAATCACTCATCGTTTGTTCGACAATCTCATTGGCAACTCACTCGGATCTTCCCTGGGATCAACTTAGATTCGACGTGGTTTCCAAGTTCTTTCTCTTCTTGGTAACTCAATACTTAAGCATGACGAAGCCACAACTGGGGATTACCCGTTGTCGATACGTATCCCTTGAGAACTACCCATAACTACAATCAAGCAGCCAGTGATTCATCAGAAGTATGAGCCATGTGGGTTCCGTCATGAGTTGAGGATTCAGGGATCTTGGGATACACTTCACCATCGAAGACTCGCGAACCATGTCATGAACCATCCTGTCATCTGTATCTGCCACTTCACGGATGGATCTCTCCACTCACTTTGACACTCTTGCACATGCCTTGAAAGGCTTGACATGGTCTCTCTTACATGAGGCTATTCCGGCAACAGGCTCGAATGGGTCAGGCTAACGGCCTTGGTCCTCCTGATGCCCAGGACGCGCGTTCTATGGGCGAGCAATGGGGCCTCGTTAATAATATTTGGACGATTTCGGTAAGTTGTGCAACAGTCTAGTGTATAAACCCGCGGGATCTTATTTCTCGATTCGGACCCTTGCTTCTGGTCATAGAAGTCTAGAATTCTAAGCTGTAAGTCGAGAAGTCACTCATTCTGTAAGTGTTCTCGTGACGTGACTCAGGTATGAGTTCGTCTGATCCATGACACTCCTATATGCGAGACATGTTCAGCCTTTTGAAACAGAGACTGGACGACGGGAGCAGGGACCTCAAACCCTATTACGCTACTCATCAATGATACGGTAGCTCCCGAGGAGTGATGTCGTTGAGTGACAAAATCTTTTCATGGTCACAACTCAGACATGGGTACACGTATGCAGTAGAAACCCGATATCCCAAAATTTTGATTCGATAGCCCGTATGCTAGTCTACATAGCCAGTTTAAACATCCAAATCTACAAACTAGGACCATGCTTTTTGAGTCCAGACCCTTTTGACAGCCATCATCCTTGCAACTATGCTCAACATGGCTCTACAATCCATGAGCTTATCGCCCACGCCGTATATCTACATTTTTCGTACTCCGTTACTTCCTCCACTGCTCAACGCTGAAGTAGCTCTCGGGCATGTCCACATCCCATGTTGGTCTCTCCACCAGGGCAATCTCGAGAGGCTGGCTTGCGGTGCTGAGAGGGACGACGCCGAAGATGGGTCTGTACTTGAAAGTCATCCACCAGCTCTTGCGTTCACCGCCAGTCTCGGCAACTTCGAGATCTTTGCCCACTTCACGACGGTTCCGTAGCTGGGCGAGTTCACCTTCAGGCTGATCCGCTTCATCGTCGCTATTGGCGTCCTCGGGTCGGGGGGCATCCTCCATGTCGATGTCATCCCACTGACCAGCTGTATGTTTGCGAATTTGCGAGGGTGCGATGGCACCTACCTCCATTCTGCCTCCTGCTCCGGTCGAGGGTCCTGTTCTCTTGCGCTTAAGGCCCTGCTTACCCGGGGCAGTGGATTCACTAATCTCGCCATCTACAGGCTTGGGCAGGTCCTGAGCCAAGTCCAACATAAGGAGGAACGAGACACCATAGATCCAAGCACGAGAGCCTTGCCAGAAGACACCCTTGGCTAGGTCGAGGAGATCCTGGACGGGAGCGGGTAGGTCCTTTCGGGCATGACGTCGAGACCAGGGGGTGAGAGAACCTTGGAGAGGGTGGAAGGTAAGCAGGTTCCACGACGAGGTGATGGCGAGGAGGGTGTAGTCGTCCACATGATCGGATGAGCCATTTATTCCATCAGGCGAAGCTCTAGGAGAGATCTTGGTCCGGGGGACATCGGCTGAGAAGGACAGAACAGTAGCTGCAGAATGAAGTTTGGGTAGTAGTTTAGCACTGGGGTTACGAGCCCACTTCTCAACGCCCTGCGATGACTGCTCCTCTTCTTCGTCGGAAGAGTCACTCTCACTTGAGGAAGACGCGTCATCCTCGGGCTTGGCCTTCTCACCATCGCTCAGAATCCAGGTATCAATGTAGCCCGCGATGTCAGATGCAGCGAGCATCCTGGAGTCTGGAGAGAAAGCGACATGTGTAATGGTCCTGTCGTAACTGCCGAGACCTCCATTGAGAATATAGCGTGGGATTTTTCGTCGTAAGCGTGTGAGTCTTTGTACACGGGGCGAGAAGATGAGAGATGTTCTGGGGCTGACGGGGTCGAGTGCGGCCATGACAACGCGAGAGCCTTCCTGAATCGCGCAGAGCCATTGTGCGTTAGGTGAGAGCTGCACCTTAATGGCGCCCACACCTGCAAGCTTCGAAGGGAGCTCGGAAGAAGAGACCTTGACGTCGGAAGGCTTGATAGGATCTTGGTGTTCTAATCTGAAAGCCTTGACGTCGATAGCAGTAGCAACAATCAGAAGGGAACCCTCATCATCAATAGTTGCGGAAGTAATATTCGAATCTCCCTTGACGACAATAGTCTTGATAAGTTTGCGGTTCTGGTTGATGTCGACTTCGTCGCCTGCGCCGTTCAACATGTCATTGGCTGACTTTCGGAGAAGCCAGATGTGAATCTCCCTGTCCCACCAACTGACAACAAATCGAGCCTTGGGCGCACTCAATAGAGGAGCCTGTTGAGGCAAGCTGGGCATCATGCGGTGGTTTTCACGTCCCATCTCCTTTAGGGGAACCACCACGGGGTTAGCATCAGGTCCTGTATCCGAGTTAGCTAGAGTTTAGCGATAGAGAGAACTTGTCTAACCTCCTGAGACAATAACACTGATTCTACCACTCTCAAAAGAAGCCATAGACTTGACATCGTGGTCGTGGTACCTTCGGCCCCAAACTTTGGCCCATCGAGATCCAGCACCATTGTTCTGCTTGTACAGAATTGTTCGTCGGTCCATGCCTCCGCTAAGGATGGATGTGCCGTCAGCACTTATCGCAAGACTCAAGACATCTTGCTTGTGGCTCTGAATGCGCTGCGATTGTGTATATGTCTTGCCATCCCAGATGCAAACCTGGCCAGTTGAGTCGCCTGAAACAATATTGCCGTTTGGCAGACATTTGACAGACCAGACAATGATGTCTTTGGAGCCACCAACGAGATCGGAGCCCAGTGTCATCCTACGCAGCATGTGACCCTTTGTGATATCGTACGCTCGAATTGTACTATCGGAGCAGCCGACGATGGCGACCCTGCGCGACTGGAAGGTGATGCTGACCATCTGAGCCTTCTTGGTAGGCGATCGCACGAGAACTCGCTGGAATCGCAGATCATCGTCCTCGATGGAGTACATGACAAGCTCGCCATCGATGGTACCAGCAATAAGCTTGTTGGAATCTTGAGGATCGGCGCCGAGAGTGTCCTTGTCGGATCCAGCAGGTTGAGCAGCCATGCACCAGATATCACCATGTTGACCGCTAGCATGTCTCTTCGGCCTTCCTGTCTCAAGATCCCATTCGGTGACTGTGGAAGTATAGCCTATGCTGAACAGGCGGGACTTTCCAGCGCTAATGCGGCCATCGGCAAGCTCCTGGTCAGGCTCGTTGACCCAGACAAGTCCATCAACGCTTCGATCTTTTCCGCCTGGAATGATGAGCTCCTGGTTCCAAGAGCCATTCGTAGGGTTCCAGATTTCGATGTCGCCATTAGCTCGTCCAATAGCGAGTCGCGCAAGATTTGCCTGTACTGCCGAGCGCGTCTTGGGGTGTGAGAAGGCTATAGCGTTAATGGCTGAAGGTTTGTATGGAACGAATCGACATCGATGGATATCCATTGCAACGGCGGTTTCTGGGCTCTGAAAAGAGTCCTCGGTCGCGTGATAATTCGGAATTAGGTATTAACTCGCTGAGATACGAAGATCGACTCAGAATTGTTGCGCGAATAGAAATAGATACGTTAACCTGACGCCGCGTAGCCAGGCGTAGAGAGAGATCCAGTTCAGGAAGAAAAATGAATGCTAGCCTCGCGAACTCGACCAAATTTTTTTCTTTGGAAAGAAAAGATAAATAAGGTGTGGTCATAGCGCTCTTAGTGCCCCTCCATAATCCACTATGGCAGCCGCGACCAACCCCTCACCTTCCCTCAGTGCGTACCCCTCTGCTTCCCTTCTTCTGTGGGTTCCATTCGTTCGTGCTATTCTAACGTTAGATCTCTTCTGAATGCGTCACATTTCCGTCGTTTTTAGACCTCTTCTCATGACTCAACGGAACCTCGCAAATTCGCAAACGTCGTAACCTACAGCGAACCGACAACACAGAAGTCGTATATGGTCCTGTCTTTTCAATAGCATCCTCGTCCTTAGTCCACGTTCTTCCGAGCCGCGTTATCCACGATTTCCTCGATTTACTTCCGCAACTCCGAACTCTGGTCTCCAAACCCCATAAGTCACCAGCTATAAATAGGAGATCATATCTCCCCCGAGTTCGACTTCGTCATAACGACACCTACAAACCCCGTCATGGATTTCAACAGCTCCTCGCCCTTCCCGGAGGGCGTCATCTCCTTCCTCGACACTGATCTATACAAGTTGACGATGCAATGTGCCGTCTTTAAGTTCTTCAAAGATGTGCCTGTGACATACGCCTACACCAACCGAACTCCAGACAAGAAGCTGTCGCGTACCGCCTTCAAGTGGCTTGAAGAGCAAATTCGAAGTATGGAACGCAGTTTTTGGTGATCTCGCCCCCAAATCTCAGACTAACCTTGATGGACAGAGCTCGGAAACATTTCTCTTTCTACCGACGAATACCTTTTCCTCAAGAAGCACTGCGACTACCTTTCCGACGACTACCTCAACTTCCTCAAGGAATTCCGACTTAGCCCCCGAGAACAAGTTGTTGCTACCTTCACTCCCGTCGGAGAGGATAATGGAGATGATTCCATTGAGGGCGACGTCGATATACAGATCAAGGGCACTTGGGTCGACACGATCCTCTACGAAATCCCCATGCTTGCTCTGACATCCGAGGCGTACTTCAAGTTCATGGACACAGACTGGAACTATGAGGGCCAAGAAAAGCAGGCATTCGAGAAGGGTCTCAAGCTGTTAGAGGCAGGATGCATCACATCCGAGTTCGGCACACGAAGACGTCGCGACTACCACACCCAGGCCCTTGTATTCCGAGGATTGGTGCAAGCTGCCAGAGAAGCTGAGAAGAAGGGATTCCCTGGCAAGCTCTCTGGAACCAGTAACGTCCATCTCGCTATGCGCTTCAACATCCCTCCCGTAGGAACTGTCGCCCACGAGTGGTTCATGGGTGTTGCCGCTATTATCGGTGACTACAGGTCTGCTACTGAGGTTGCGCTGCGACACTGGGTAGCTTGTTTCGGTAACAAGCTCGGCATTGCTTTGACCGACACCTTTGGAACTCAAGAGTTTCTGCGAGCTTTCACGCAGCCTGTGCAAACTATCGAGGGTGGCTTCCCAGCAGAGACCTTCAAGAAGGCTGACGGAACCATGAAGACATATGCGGAGACCTTTGCTGGTATTCGACAAGATTCTGGTGACCCTGCAGAGTACACCAAGTGGATGAAAGAGTTCTACGATAAGCAGGGTATTACCGACAAGAAGCTGATTGTCTTCTCTGACTCACTGAACATTGAGAGGTGTCTCGAGTATAAGAAGATTGCTGAGGACCTTGGCTTCCAGCCAACATTTGGTGTGGGAACATACCTTACCAACGACTTTGTGCACCTCACGACTGGCAAAAAGTCGGTGCCTCTGAACATTGTCATCAAGATCAGCTCGGCGGCAGGCCGCCCAGCTGTCAAGATTAGGTGAGTGCTCCATATCTAGACTCGTAATATTACTGACTAACTTGTCATAGTGACAACATCGGAAAGAACACGGGTGACAAGGAGACTGTGGAGAAGGTCAAGCAGGAGCTTGGATATGTCGAGCGCGAGTGGAAGGAGGGCGACGAAACCTCACGATGGGGCAAGGAATAAGAAGAAAATAGACCAAGATACCAGGCAAACATTGCCGATTTGATTAAGGGAGGGCCGCATAAGCACCAGAAAAGAGACGGGAAACAGCGCAAGCTTGGATCATCTGAGACCAATCGGTTATGCTGTAATGCTGGTTTAGATCTGAACGCCGCTCAATCACAGAAAATGATGTTAAACTGAGTTGGGTATCTGCGTATCCTACAAACAAGCTGAATAAGTGGTGAGTCCAAACCCAAACCTCACGCCGCATAGTTCTACACATGCAAAATGCAGCCATAAATCATTACTCCTTGGTAGTCTCGACGATGGGTGTCAGACCAACCTCCGTCCTCGCCCAAGTGATACACTCTCTCCACTCCGACATAGTCATAACCTCAAACTCAGGATCAGGTTCCCACAGCATCTCTGAGACCTCATCCACCATCTTCTTACCAAACGTGCCTACCCACCAAGCGATCTTGCCCAACGTGTCAAGCTGCACTCCCCAGAAGACCATAAGAAGCAAAGCAACTGGATCTGAACTCTTGAGCGCTAGCCCAAACTCTCGTCCTGCCAGAGCTGGAAATCCTATGGCCATTCCTTTGAAGACATCTTTGGAATCTTGGACGAAACACGTTTGTATGGCGGAGAAGCTGGTGCGGTAAGAGCTGATTCGGACGCTGGCTTCGGACTGGTCGTTGGGAGTTGAACCAGAAGGTGTGTCGCAGGCTTTGTTGATGATAGTGCTTAGACTCTCCAGAGCGTCCTCGGTTTCTTTGCTCAACGATGTAGGTGTCTCAGTCTGGAGTTGTGTTCTTAACATTAAAGCCTCTGTAGACCGCGATAAAGCTCCTGATATCAAAGCGTCGAAGTGCTGATTGGCGATAGAGGCATTTCCCATGAGGAGCTCCCACAATGTCACCATGCGTTCCAAAACACCTTCGTGAAGCTCTTCAAAGGCACTGCATTGGCCGAGAGCCATGTTTACAGCAACAGCGAGGAACGAGAACATGAAGATCTTCTGGGCATTCTCAGAGTTGACGTTCTCAAGCTGTGCTCTGAACGAGCGGCTCGCTTTATCGTAGTACTCCACCGCCAACTTGGCGTAGTAAGTGTCATGGTCTTCTTCAACAACTACAGCACCGCCGCAGAGCGCGACTTCGAGAGCTGAGAAGGCAAACATGCCTTGTAGGAGATACTCGTGTTTAAGAGCCCAGCGAGCCATGTCTTCTTGTAGCCATTGGTTATCTTCTGGAATACTGGCTAGACTTTTGTAGCTTGATGATGTCCAGCGGTGCATGAGTTCAAGCTCTATTCTGCGCCTGGTCTCTGTTGCTGGGAGTTGGGTTGGTGGTTCGGTGAGATATGAGCAGCCTTCTAGATTACGGGCTAGACAGTTGGTGCAGGGAGGGCCTCCCTCGTCACACTGGGAGGATTAGTGACATATTCTATGATTTGGTGAGAGTATGTACTTTGACATGGCGCTTTTTGCAGTTTCGACAGCCGTGTCGAGACTTGTTGTGAGTCCTTCGTTTCATCATGGTGGCAAGGAATGCCAGTCAACAAGGGCAACGGTAGCTGTGTTGAAGGGCAATGACAATGGATTATAGTCATGAAATAAGTGAGAAGAATTTCATGTGAAGAGAAGAAGTTTGATGAGCTGGTATAAGAATTGATGCTAAAGCTGAAGCCTAGGATATAGTGAGGTGGCTGTGCTTATGGCTAGTCCCCTCATGGGTATAGGTGAAGCTGACGAATGAGGTTCAAGGATACTCTACTTGAACGAAACGAACAGTATATGCCAAGAAATTCTATCTAACCAAAGAACATTGTTTTTTTGAGATTATAGAATATGAATGTGTGATTAGAAGGACATGATCTCATCCTAGGTATCGAGAGCTGGCTCGTGATGGTTGTGAGTCGGATGTATTCTTCTTAATGGAATTTAATTGTTCATTTAATCATAAAATCTTACTATCCAGGCCGTTTCTAACGTCTTTGTTCCTTCTCATCAATGACTTGTGTGGCACCATCTTTTTGTGATTGTAAATGTGCCTCCACACATCAGACTCTCGAACATCACACCCAGCAACCCACCGACAATAACACCAGCAGTCTCGCCAGCACCCACTATCTGCAGGCCAAACTCCAAGTTGATTTCTGACTCGAAGGATTCATCTTGCAGCACTCGGTCGAGGATAGTCATATAGACTGCTCCTCCGCCAAGACCGGCCCCGAAAGCCAGTAAACCAACGAGGACTTCTGCTGAGAAGACCAGAAAGATCGAGTTGGCGAGCAAGATGAATGTCGAAGCTCCGATTATGGTAAAAGCGGCCTTGGTACTAGTGGGTCCGAAGAGAAGCGTGTGTGTTCGGGAGATAAAGTTGCCGAGCTGGAAAGCAAGGCCGTAGGTGGTGAAGTAAGAGAAGAACGACGTATACGATGTAGGAAGAGGCAAGGCTCGAGCTATGCCTGGGTATGCCAAAGTCTGAATAGCAAACGCTCCAAACAAAGGCATCATGAATGGTCGAATCATGGCTTTAGTAAGACTGAGCCGGTTTCTCGTGCTGAGCATGCGTGAGAGCTGCTCAACGGGATCCTGGGCTAGCAGAGAAGCATCCTCGACATCCACCTTTGACACTTCTTGATGCGTGTGAGGATAGTTGACAGGTGCTCCTGGGAGAACGACAAAGAATGCGACGAGCATGGCACCTGTAAGTGCATAGATGCAGTCAATAAAGTCACGTAAAAAGGACTCCAGCCAAACAGTCAAGACAAATGGCAAGATTGCGCAGAACACAGCCCCGGCTGCGACGCCAGCACCCCATCCTGCGAGTCCAACACGCCCGTAATATCGTAACATTCCCAGAAACGAAATTTCCATCGCAGCAGCGGATATCGATGCCAAAATTGACGTCAAGATTCGAAGTGGCGGTGCAATATTAGGCGGCGTGACATTTGTGACGATGGCCACTATGATCCAACCTGCTCCAACAGTGAGAGGACGCATCCAGTAGGGAACACGATGAAGAACATGTGGCATTAATAGCTTCGTCGCCAAAGCTGGAAGAGTCTCGATGAGAAGAACGATCCATCGCGGATAAGGAATGATGAGATAATTTGCTGAGTGTACGATGAAAGGCACAATCGCATTCACGAGGCCTGAGAGTGGTCAGTTGAGGGAGGCTTCATGTGAAGACGGTCAAAATTACCGAGAATCGCAAAACCGAGGTACGTTAGCATCGTGACACTCAACCTCGAGCTCTTCTGAGCATCCATATTGAACTCCATCACCTCGATTTCTCCATGAAAGAGTCAGATTAAATAATCGAAGGGGAAAAAGAGACTTTTCAACAAAGAACAAATTAACTGCCGATACTTTAAAGTCAATAAATGCAATGTAAGCTTATTTATTTATCCCTTGGCTTTGGCCGAATACGGTTTACGGAGGCCCAAACACCGCGCGCGGATAAATACGAGAGGCCATGACTCTAAATACCTTCCTTACCCTGAATAAGGAATTATAGAGCATCTTGTTACGAATCAATTCATCACCAGCGTAAAATGACGTACAGAGATTGGATGGAAGAGGAAGCTGATGTAGAGCCTCTTGTTGGACCACGTGGGGCCGTAACCAAGGGCACGATGTCGAGTGATTGGCTGTAGCGTATTGATTCAATGCTAAAGATCTGCGGTTGGTAGTGGGGTTCATGATGGTTTACAGAGGCTAGAGTCATGATAGATACCTAGACTACAGTATCATGAGAGACGAAAGAGAAGAGATAAGATGACGATCATGTATCACGAGGGTCTTATAGTATTCCATTTTCTATTGGCGACGCTGCTCACAGCACTCCCATCAACATGACCCAGATGATTCAATGACCTCGTCTTCAATATCACATCGCTCGTCCTCCAGGATGAGAAGAGCCCCAAATGCTGACCCTGAAGATGCATCGTTTCCATCTGCACAGTCAGCCCGACCTGTTCTGGCTCAATTGAAGCCATCATGGTTCATACCTCGATACCTGAAAAGCTTCAGGTGGATAGTCATCACCCTCACATTCTTCCTTGTCTCTTGGATAGCTTACACGAGACTTGTAAGTCAACCAAACTTCACCATCACCAACTCAACTAACAACATCAGCTTTCTCGACCACTTGATCACATCCTTCCCGGTCATCATGGCTCATCAAATCTCGCCGTCAAAGATCTCAAAGCTCTCACAGTCCCTCAACGATCCTCCAGACCAAGCGCATCCCGTCGCATGCGTCTCTTCATGCCCGCAGACTCACCACACATCAACCTCTGCAAGACCATAATGTCCGCCGTCGCGATGGGATACCCCATGCCCATTCTCCTAAACTGGAAGCGTGAATATAATCGACCGGCGTGGCACTTTGCAGGTAGTCACATCGCCAAGCTCGAAAGTCTCCTCGCTGCTATTGAAACACTCCTTGAATCGAAAAGCGACGATGTGGGCGAGGATGATGTAGCGGTGTTGGTCGATGCATATGATATGTGGTTTCAACTTCCACCTTCTGTTTTGCTAGAACGATATCATCGTCTTAACGACGAAGCAGATGCAAGGATACGCAAGCAGTGGAAAGATCTCAGCATTGGCACTGACTTTCCTATATCACCACCTCGCCAAGACATAATCATCACTACAGCAAAAGATTGCTTTCCAGACCCTTATTCTGGGTCTGATCCTCACTATGAGCATTGGCCTGAATCGCCCATGCCGAAAGACATGTATGGACAAGACACAGACAAGGTCCCATGGTCTTTCGATTCAGCGCGCAAGTACAAAAAGGTCCGACCACGATGTGTGAACAGCGGCCTTATCATGGGTTCTATGGGTGGATTGAGAGATGCTCTCAAAAGATCCAAAGAAAAGATTGACGCAGTGGCCATGAAAGGTCGTCAACTTTGGAGTGACCAGGCTCTTATGGGAGAGGTTATCGGAGACCAGGAGATTTGGCGCGAGTGGATGAGACATGTTGGATCTTCATGGAATGGATCTGCTGCTTTCAACGACAGAAGTTCACTCGATCGTACAGTCCGTGATATCGCAGATGCGGCCCTCCTTGGAAAACGATTCGAGTTCGGTATCGGTCTAGACTACAACTTCACCACGGCACCACCAACATGTTCCTCCGAAGAAGATGGCTACTTCGTCAATCTCTCCAACGAGACCAACATCCGCGAAGAATCTCAAAAAGGCGGTGTTCCAGGGGATATCCGCATTCACGGCATACCATCCGAACTACGCAACATGAAAGACAAACTACTCTCTTCCACAAACTGGGGTACAATTCCCCTCTACACAGACTTCTTCTTCGGCACAACTCCAATAGCAATCCATCACAACGCCTACATAAACGGGCTTAAAGGCTTCAGGCTCAAGAACTGGTGGCACAAGATGTGGTACCATCCTCACCTCCGCCACCTCATCACCCAACGTCTCCAGCAAACGCCCTCATCTCACACACTCGCAGAGATCGGAGATAAGATCGCGTATAAATCGCCGCAAGAAGATAGGCTGCGCAAACCCCGTGTGTTTTCTCCCAAGGAGCCAAACTTTACGCCTATAGACTGGGACGCCGTGTGTCAGAAGCCAGGTCACGCTGTGAAGTGGTACGATGAGCTATTTGGCGACGACAAAGGACCCTTGGCTGTATATTCGGTGAATTGGTCATAGTCTGTGATTTAGAGGGGAAAGAATAAGAGGCTACGAGAATAAACACAAATACTTTCCTTCAGGCATGGTGTCACACACACGAATCCCTAGATCTCTTGGCGTCGTCTCATGACACATTACAAATCACGGCAACCCTCGGACCCGAAGAGACGAATACTACAGTACCATGACCTTTTTTCTCGATCCGAGCTAAGATGGTAGTCGGTTATAGCTCCCCCTAGTAAGAGTAAGACTGTTAGCTCCGGGAACCATCTGGCTCTGATCTAAAACGCCATAGCTCAGCCTGAATAAACTCCCCCTTGAGATAAATCAGGGACCAGCGCCCCGTACGGGGAACCTTAAAAGATGTTAGAGTAGCTTTGTTGGTAGTTCGAAAAGCCTCGTTATCCCGCAAGTTTTTGTTGTCCTCGATAGCTTCAAGCCTCTTATCCCTTGGTCTGGGATGACGGTCTTGGCGAGGCAGTTATCCATGGACTCGGTGCAACGTTAGACGGGGAGATGAGAGTGTTGGTGGAAAGGGCTGAAACAGTCAGACGTCACTTGGCTGACAATAGTAGAGGAGTACTAAGTAAGATTTTGTAGTGGTAATCTTTCAATTCAGAGTCGACGTGACTGCATTATCTCGAGTTCGTTGGTCCACAGGCCAAGTAAAAAAGTCCCAACCTGTCAATCAGGGTATACAACCATTAACACCGTTCCCATATATGAACATAATAAAAAAGGCTGCTGAAAAGAGCGCTTTGGGTCAATGCCCCGGAGGTTTATGCTGCTTCAATAACCAGGCTTCATGATGTCTCCTCTGATAGTCTGACGATCTCACATATACTCCTCACAAAAATCATGTCGACCTCCTGTGGCGCCTCCGTGTCCATTAATCTCTCCTCCCCAGCACCTCCTTCAGAGATCATCCTGGCTGTAGCCACTAGCCTAGAGATACAGCGAAGAAGACCCGATTCGATATTTCGCGTCGCATTGTCTTGAACAGTTGCTGTAGATGTTTCCTCCTTGCCGAATCCCATGACTGTCAGGGGAGCACTGAACTTCTTGGCGAACCGACCAACACTTGGTGAGGGGTTGAGCTGAGGTGTGCCCAGGCCTAGAAGCGATGCAGCCTTCTTGGGGATGTTCTCACCCTGCTGTTTCGAGTCCGAGGTCGACGCTCGCTGTCCTAATGGCTGGTTGCGGGGAACTCGTGAAACGTAGTTGTAGGCGACGATGTGCGCATACAGGGCGTCACAAATGTAATCTGAGCAGCCGGAAAACACATGTCGCAGCGAGGCCCAGGGCACTGGAGATGCGGCGGCGACCGAATGTGTGTTGCTATCATACGAGTGTAACCGCTGACGTCTGGTGCTAGTTGAGTCGCGACCATGTGAGACAACCTTCTTCCAGATTGACTTTCGTGGGTGCAGTGTCGATGAGTCGTTGGCTGGCTCAGACCAAGCGTCGACTGAAGGTTGCCGGACTTTCTTTGAGTAGGCGCGGATTGTTTCTGTCGTCAGGCTAGATGACAAGAGCATTGTTTCTGGGAAGCAAGCGATTGAGACTCGTAGTGTTTCGATAATATCAGGTGGCAGAGGCACGGCCTTTGCCAAGTCGTCAACGGGAATTTGAGGCAGACATGGAGGATTGGAGTCGTCTAGCCAAGATTCGACAGTGGGTAGTGGTGATGGAGGTGGAGTTTGTTCGATATAAACTGTGTCAGGTCGTGACAGTGGTGGGGGAGGTGGATAGTGCTCCATGAATGTGTCTTCGTCCTCGATTTCTAGCTCAATTGATCCAAAGTCTGATTTGAGAAGGATTGTGTTGTTGTCGGTCTCGTCGCGAAAGCGCTGGGTGTAAGAGAGTGACTGCGTGGTGTAACCTTGACTGTCCGGGCCCATCCGCGAATCAAAGCTGGGTATTACGATCCGAGGAGTTGTGTCCAATGGATCCGTCGCACTTGTGAGGGATGTTTTTCTGGGGGGAATTGTTGGCGCGTCCATGGATTTTACTGAGAATTGTCTTTTGTGTTTGCTCTGTTTGGGAGACTCGTCAATGCAGGAGCAGGCTCTGTGAAGCCGAGGTTTGGGCGCCTCCATCATGACAGTGATATCAAAGGTAGGCTCGGTGTTTGGGGGTGCAGGAGGTCGTGGTGATAAAGCAGCAGTCTCTTTTGGCGTGGTCAACTGCTCCCGACTTTGAGGCTCAGGCTCATCATCATCGTCGTCAGAATCAACATCAATCCAACTGTATTCTTGACTTCGCGTGGGTGACAGGAGATCCTTGGGCGATGGTGGGTTTCCACTGGCCGATGTGAGAGATGTCGCTGTTGTGACAATGGATTGCTCGCGTAACTTGATAGAAGGCACCTCAATGGCTTCAGAGGACTCTGATAATGATTCGGACTCCTCGTCAGATTCGATCTCATCAACACCATGCCCCCGATGTTCAAGAAAAGACACCATTGACTGCCGCTCTTCTATGGACCCTAAATTCTGTACTCGCACGGATCCGGATTGATATGGGGAAGTAATGATTCGACTTGGTCCCATTATACCATGAGTGGCGTGGTCCTCTGCAAACCACACGGGAGCGGATGGCATACCAGCAGTCATGTTCTTTGCCATGAACACCGAGCTCGATCTTTCCAGATCTCTGGCCAGCATCTCAGGAAAGCAATCCATCATGTCGTCAATGACTTCTTCGTCGAGAATACTTGGTGTCTCTGAGCGAGGAGCTGGTAATGCAAGCGGCAGCAAGCCTGTCATGCTCGAGACTGAACGTCTTTTCGAAGGAGAAGATGGTGCTGAGGGCGAAGGTGAAGCCTCGCGCGAATTTGGATCTTGTCTGTATAAGTATATAGCCACTGGAATCCGAGGAGCGAGCACAGACATGGAGGCTGATGCAGGGACGAACAAGACCCAACAACAAGAACAGACCACCAATCAACGTGATTCACTGCCTTGGCATTTAGAGGAGGACGATCTCAAAGGGCACCACGACACTTATATGATTTGACTCGGACTGGAACTTAATAGCAAGTGATCAGGGAATAGTGGATATAACAATGGCTAGAAGTGGACATGCAGGGCGAGACACCGTCGATCGAGGGAGGCAGGGGCTTATTAGTCCGTTAGATCGACGAGACCATGTATGTACAAGTACGTACTGTATGTAAACGTCGAGAGACATGGGATGGAAGCAAGAAATTGGGCTGCAGTGGGAAAGGCAAAGAATGGACGGGCGGGGTCTGTTGCAGTTGCACATAGCACAGGCCAGGTAACCAAGGACGTGATACTGGCATCGGGACTGGCGTTGGCACTGGCACTGGCTGGTAGCGGAAGAGATGAATGTAACTAACGGCCACGCCCTGACGACAGGAATGAGGTGGGAATCTGAGTGGCGTTGTCGGGGACGCAATGGTCTCGCCGCGAAAAAGCAAAACAAATCAAGACAGACCAAGACAGGTAAGTTCGTATGGACCGTCCCCAGGCGCCGCGAGCGGGCTCTAATGGAACTTGACTCTTTTCGACCTCAAGGTTTGGAAGCTGCTGATCCTTGGACGAAAGAAACCAAGGAAGAAGTGCAAGGGAGGACAAGAAGGGAGTTGTCTGTGTGTGTTGCCCACGAGCATTGCATTGTTACCTCCATCTCGGGATGCAGGCTGCTTGCTGGAATCTGCTGTGACATGTCTACATATCACATCACATCTCCACTTGGAGAACGCGAACATGCCTACGGCTCTCACAAAAAGCTCAAGCGGGAAAATGCCGCGAGCTACTGTCCGCGAACGGCAACTATGCAGGGCCGGGGGAAGCTGAATCGGCGCCAAGACAGAACTTTCACTTGAAGCTGCCATCAGTAAGGAAAGACAACTGAATTCCACTTAGCGTCGAGAGAGAGCAGGACTGGACATGGTGTTCCAGTGTGCCAAGACATTGTCAACAAGGGCGCAGATAGCGGCTGGGCATTGAACTCGTCCACACCAAGGGACAGACAGTTTTGCGTCAGTGAGATGATTAGATCCTCGAGGCGGGTGAGTTAGTGCTGGTGCATCACCCGGGAATAATTAGAACTGTTCTCCCCGGTCGCAAAGCATCACCGGACGCGATCATAGTCAGTCAGTAAGCACCTTAGCCAGCTTAGCAGCATTGTTGTGATGGCATCGTGGCTGAAACGGAAGACTGGTATGCAAGCTAAACTCTGATCCCCATTGTCAGGTCTCGGCCTCAAAATGGTCGAGATAGAGCAGAGCTCTCTTCCAAGCTGCCGTTCATACGCGATTCCGCCGGGGAAGACTCGGATCTGGAAGCAGGGAGACGATAATGAGAAATAGCCAGGGGAACAATGGAGATGCGGAGAACCCAAGCATGCCAGGATCAGATTATGACAGACTTGACAGGCAGACAGGACAGGACAGGGTAGTGTGAGAGGGCCCCTGGTCCGCAGATGTAAGGGAGATCATCAGAACTGGGTCAGGTATGCGTGTATGCGTTACGCTTATCGGTCACCACATGGTTATCGTCTGCACGTGCTGGAAGCGAAAGGTGACGAGATGAGATGAGTTGGGCGAGATGTGATAGACTATCACTTTCAAGCCTAGGCCATGTGTTTTCATGCAGGAGATCGAATGAGGTAAACGTGGTTCTCTCGAACTATTGCTGATGTCAATTACTGAAATCATCACCCGGTTGACAATGGGGGTTAGTCTGGTATGTGATAAGTGCCCGCAGGCTAACTCTCAATGAGAGAGGAAGACGAAGAGAAGTAAGAACAAGAAAAGAGGACCGTTCGCTGTGGTAACGGTCGGCAAGACATGGAAATACAGTGGAGCATCTGTAAGCAAGGGAGTCATGTCAATCGTTGAGGGAGAGAAGCGAGAAGATGGTCGATGATGATGCGAGAAGCAAAAAGCAATTAAGTTTGACACAGACAGCCCAGGCAGGGACTGTTCTGAGAGCTTCAGTGCAGATTCAGAGGAAACACCTGTAAGTTACAGGGTGGCAGGTAAGACAGTG